GACCAGGTGGGAGAGGTGTTTTACAGTTGCCTGCCAGACAGCTAGCTTTCCTACCTGGTTTCACAGCCTAGACTATCTCAGTCAGATAACTAATCCCGATTCCCACAATACTCTGAGGACGTGTTCCCTACAACACAAACTCTCAGGTGCCAATTACTTTATCACTCAGGAATCCTGACTGCAAGCACCAATTCAAACAAAACAGCTGGGAAAAAATGACACTGAATACTGACTGGACATTTAATTATAAGGAATTATTGTTAAGTTAGGTATGATAATAGTACTGTGGTTATGTTAGATTTATAAACTAAAATATTTGCACATAGAAATGTGTAACACCTGGAATTCCTTTCAAAATAATACTGAGGGGAAAGTGGGTGAAAAATGCAGATGAAATAAGATTGCCTGTGAGTAAATTCAGGGACCTAGAGGATGGGAAACATGAAATTATATTGTATTTTTCTACTTTTGGATGTTTGAAATTTTCTGTAATAAGAAGTTTAAACAGAACGTGCCCCTCTTTGTGCCTTTTCAGTTCCCTTTGTCTTCTCTTAAATTTTCATAATATAATGCCTGCTTGTACGCCACGGTGAGGAATGGAGCAAGGCTATGGCTGCCCTTGCCGGTCCTGATCTCTGACTTTCTCACATCATCAGGTGAAACATGAGTAGTATTAAGGTCAGCAGTGTTTCCCCTCCAGCTAACATAGCACTTCTTTGGCAACAACTTCTGTGGTAACTATGATTACAGTAACTACAATAACTAAGGTATCTCAAGCATATTCAGTATTCTGTGAAACACCATTAATTTTTAGCATTAATACCATTAATGCCAAAAGTTAAACTGAGCACTTTAGCCCCAATGTAATTTCATTTTCAAATTGAAGGTCTTAAGTATTCATAAAAACAACTAGGTTTAAGGAATCAGAGAGTAATGACAGAAATGCATTGTAAAAAATTAAGAATCGATGAGTCCATAGGACATCTTAAAGAAAGAGAAGTGGGGGGAAACCTGGCTTTATAAGAACTTGCCAGACAATAAATGTAGAATAATGAAATATCACATTTTTTCAGCCCTATCCTGTCCCCAACCATGTTATAAATGATTTAAGCAAAGATTTTTTATGGACACTCAAACCTCTGGGTGAAAGGTTCTTGGGGAACAGGACATAACATAAGGTCTCAAATTATTTACTTCACAGGTTACTTACTAATTACAAAAGGCAAAGAGGCAAACTGTACTTTAATAGAGAGCTCTGGTGGTCACTTATTGACCAAGTGATAACACTTAGCAACACCAATAAACAGGACACACCTGTGGATCCTGACGTGATGCAGTAAGAAGTCCATGTCACCGCCTTTGTAGACTTCTTGCCAAATATATGCATCCTGAATCTACTCATCTTCTCAGGAGGAAATTAGAAAAGATGCTAATTGGTGAGTCTACATGGTTATTTCAGTTTTTCTCTAAATTTGAAATTTTTCAAAATAAAAAGTTGGTGAAATATATTGTGGTTTATTGTTTTGCAAAATTTCTATTTAATACAGAAGGAAAAAAAGAGGGGGGGAGTGGGTGGGCAGGTTAAGTATTGAGTTAAAATCAATCCATCTTTCCAAAAGTAAGGAAGCCTAGCCAAAGTTAAAGCAGAGTTCCACCTGGTCCTTCAATGACTCAAAGCCATATTCTCTACGTGACGGCTATTTCATCAGAGATGAAAAATAACAGCCCCTCCTGTTTCCACGAGGTCAAGAAGCTAAAAAGACAGAGTACAACTGACAAAGCATGTCTACTGGCTCCAGAAATAAATTCAAGATCTGGAAGCAAACCCTAAATTTTCAAAACTTGACTTTTTTATCTTTAAAAGAAAAAACATTTTAAAGACTCTTCCATTTTTTTTCAACTGGGGAAAAAACACAAAAAAAAAACCCTGCTGAAATTCTATTAAAAAATTAACAGTATGTTCTCATTCTTTAATATGATTTAAGGATCTATAATAGGACAAACTAAAAGTACAGACCCTTAATTAAGCATTTGTTGTACGCGAAGGAACCTGGATTTCAGCTTTGAAATCATGAACTAAACACGTCCAATGAAGGATCATGGCATTGACCCTTGGTTTTGCTTAATTGAAAGAGAAAGTCAAAATTCATACTTATATTTCATGTGTTTGAAAAAAAATTTACCAATTGCAGATTCCAGTGGAAGATTATACACTACAAGTTCCTTCCATTTTTCAAAGTAATCTATTTGTTCAGGCGATCATTCACATTCTTGAAAGTCTGCATTCAAAGGGATAACAAAATGCAGGAACACTGGGTCATGCTTGTGTGTACTCCTGGGATAGGTAACATCTACTGCAAAGGGTGAAACTAACGAAAATAAGCCTATCATTTGTATCTTACACAGACGGTAGGAGTGAAGAGGTGTTTTTAGTCCAAGAGCCACATGGTATGCCAAATAGTGCGACATCCCAAACACTTCAGACAATACACACACATTCTTTTATTCCCATACAGATTAAAAGGCTTAATTAATATAGAATTTGGTTGCACCTTCATTAGGTACGTTTCTATCTCTTTTATTGTGAATTTTATCACTTTAATGTTAAAAAAATGAATTTTAATCAGCCACCAACCTATAAACTTCCTCTTGAATACAAAAATTAGTATTTTATAAGCAAAACAGACAAGGAAAATAATAATTCAATAAAAATCATAGAATCTAAAAGGAAAAAAATGCCTAATAGAAGAGTTGGCACCTAGGCAAGTATTTCAGACTTGCAACTGACTCTTCAGAAAAAAAAAATACTCAATTCCCGTAGATTAGAAATTTTTCAAAAAAGTTGGTGAAAATATAAGGTGGTTTATGTTTTGCAAGATTTCTACATAATACAAACAACCAAATTATAAGGATAATCTAAGTCTTGAGTTAAAATCAATCCATCTCTCCAAAAGTAAGCCTTGCCGAAGTCAAAGCAGAAATCTATCTGGTTCCCCAATGACCCAAAACAAACACTGTAGAGTACAGACATTAAAAAGCATTAGTAAACTTCTCAGCACCGAGGTACACCAGAAGAATTAACTGATGCTAAAAGTTGTCACTAATACAAAAGCAAAAAGAAAGCAAGCATATAAATCAAAGGTTCTCAACCCTGGAGAGCTTTTTCAAAAGTACACTTCCTGAGACCTATTTCTGAATAGTCCTAGTGGAATTTCTGAGATATTATACCATGACATCAGTTTCTTCACAAGACTCTCAGGCGATTTTATATGCACCTAGGGATGAGGATCGCTGGTAAGAGCAGAAAGAAGGTGAAAGAGAAAAAGGAGGGAGGAAGCAAAAAGACCTTCAGAAAGTAAACACCAATCATGATTCTTAATTTCTATTTAAAAGCATCAGCTTTTCCACTTACTGTCATTAATTTCACAGTACCCTCTACTGGTCAGTAAGTGTATCTACTATTCCTAGAGCTAAGGGACATTTCCAACTTTATTTTGTTGAAAGCAAATATATCTAGAAACAATCAGTTAGTGAACCTTCATTTTTTCCTATATTTCCTCATAATTTAAGTGTAAAACAGGTTGGAAAACAGTGTTGCAGACGGTTTTAAACTTAATTCCAACAATCAGGAACAATTAAGATGTGTCATTTCGTTTATCTCAAGCTTTGCCAACACTGACACTACTGACATTTTGAACCAAATGACTCCTGGTGGCAGAGGGCAAACTCTGAGTGTAGAGTTATGTAATATTCAGTAGTAATTTTTTTTAAGATACAGAGGGCTATTTCAATATAAATTAGGAGTATCTTACATTATCTTCCTTTAGTGCTTTCAATTCTTTACATGACCATTAAGTCTATGTCCTATATGTTGTAGGATGCTTAGCAGCATCCCTGGCCCCTACCTACTACGTGCCAGTAGCAGTTCCATCTAAAACTTTGACAACCAAAAATATCTTCTAAACATTTTCAAATGTCTCCAGCCCCTGGAGGGGAGGGCAATATTGCCTTCACTTACAAATTGATGACTTATTCAATAAACATGTTTCTGGGGACATAAGAATGCACAAGAATGTGAGGTACGTAACATCTCATTGTGGTTTTGATTTGTATTTCTCTAATTAGTGACACTGAACATCTTTTCATGTGCCTACTGGCCATCTGTATCTTCCTTGGAAGAATGTCTATTCAGATACTATGTCCATTTTTCAATTGGGTCATTTGTTTTGAGTTGTATAAGTTATTTATATACTTTGGATATTAACCCCTCATCAAAAAGATATAAAAACTTGATAATTAAAATGTTTTTTAATTAGTGAAAGGATATCCTTTCACTAAATTTCAAAATCTTTAATTTTTATATACCAGGTTCATAAAGAATACCTTATAAGAAAGAACCACCATAATGAAGATTTCTTTTAAAATAAGTTATAATGTAATTTGTTCACGGAAACATAGTATTTATGTATACTTGAATGTTCTGATCTTTTAATTTAAACATCTTGTGATATATAAATCTATGCAGTACAACACTGACATCTGCTGGTTGCTTTAATTTTTCACTTTAAAAATAAGACTAAAATAAAAACTAGTGAACTTATACTTTTCAACATGAAAGAATCAAAGAATAGCTATAATTCCAAAATAGCTTCAATAGCAAATACTATTCTTATGAGTACTAATGGACTATATTGAAACAAGGTAAATTATAAGTATCTGATTATGTATTTAATTTGTGTTATTACTGAAATGAATTATAGATGTTTACTCTGAAAGAGGATATGAAGACTACAGACTCAAATACTAATAATGGTTATTCAATATTCAATTTATGGAATACCTAGAAAATAGCTTCAACTGGAACCTGTTGTCGGTTTTATAATATTCATTAGCAACAATTTTTAAAGACATAGAAGGCTACTGTTTCAATATAAATCAGTAATTTTAAAATCATCTCTAATGCTTTCAACTGTCAAATGATGATACTATGTAGGCAACAATTCTCATGTGTCAGTACTTTTAATGTTGTATACATAAAATTATAGTAAAAAGATGATTATAAACGAGATGTAGTCCCTCCATTTCCATGGTCAGCTCACTGCATTACAATAAACCAAGTTTATATTCCACCATCAAGTGTGGTTCTCCCATTAGTTCACTTTGTGATGGGTCTGAAAACAAACAGAAACACATATTAAAGATGCTCAAAACAAGATAAATTCAATGATTCCACTCACATAAAAATCTAGAACAAGCAAAACTAATTAATCTCAAGGGACAAGAAAACAGACCAGTGGTTGCCTGGGGCCAAGGGTGGGGGGACTGAATGCAAAAAAAAAAAAACCAAGGAATATTTTTGGCTTCCCAGATGCCTCTAGGAACAAGCTCTAATTAAGAGATGAGGCAATCTCTTAATCTAAATTGCAAAAACATTTTATTTCTATTGTTTTGTGCTCTGTTGCATTCACAAACACAACACACAAGCGTAAATCAGAATTCTAGAACAAAAAAATCCTAACAATCTTCATCTCTTGTTTTTATGGATCAGTCAGATAAAAATTTTAACTGTGATAATAGATGTGAAAGAGCTTTTAAAATTAATAGCAAGAGTAAGGTTCCTAGAGACAAATAAAGCCTATTTTCTTTTTTGCGTCCTACTCAACATTAGACTGGAAACAGAATAAAAACCCCAAAACTATATAATCAGTTGGTAAAAATAAATGTCCATTCACATTAAAATAATGATTACCAAGAGTTACTGATCAATTTGGGTGTTCCTCACTGGGTCTCCTAAGAGACTGGAGGTTATGCAGACTGTATCAGTTCAGCAATCTAATCTATACTCTCCACACTTGTCACTCAACAAAGTAGCCTTAGCAACAACTGATACTGCTACAATTACTAATAAACTGCTAGGTATATAAGAGATATTCAAAATCTAAACTTAAATGTCTGCACATGAGTAGAATAAGCAAAGATGTTTACTATAGCCCTGTTTTGTGTTAATAAGTGAGAAAAATGCAAGCACCCATCAACAAATGTACTGATGTACCACGTATACTGTGAGATACAGTATTACACCAATGTGTTAAAAAATAAACACTAAACAATGCCAAATATCTTCTGACTACAAATTTGTCTAAAGACAGACAGGAGGACATACACTAGCAACAGCAGGTAACCAGAGAATGAGGGAGAGAAATGGGTCTGGGGATAATCATGGAGGACCTGAATTTGGGCTACATTGTCTTAAATTTTTAAACAAATATCATATTCATTTAGATAACAATTTCTTTTAAACTCTGTTTTAAGCTTTTGCCTTTAATAAAATATACACTTGTTAAATATGCACTTGGTATGCCTGAGAAGACAGCATACCAAGTAAGAAAAGTACTGGCATGTGGTTCCAGCACCTGCTCTGCCAGGAGCTCACTGAGAGACTATGGGGCAGGACTGAGCCTCTGACTCACTCTGCTACTCGTCTTAAAGTGAGGGTCTGCAGTGAACGGAAGGTTCCTTTCAGCATTAAGGAAGAGACTATTTTTGACTTTACTATTGCCCTCCTCACATGCCCCTTCCCTTCCTTGTAAAATGTAGACTGTTCTTGGCAAAGCACTTCACAGACGAGTGACCAATACCCTCATTATCTCCAACACGTCACAAAACATAAACTGGAGAAATATACAGATTTCCACTGTATATTTTCCAGGGTTTAACAGTCCTCATGGAGTTCAGATTAACGAACCACTCCCTCATTACAGACATAAAATGTCCTCCTGGGTCAGATGATGAGAAGAATGTGATGAGCAAGAGCTTGCAACACTTCCTAGGGATCAAGCACTTCTTGAGGCACTGGGGACACAAGAGCTAAGGAGATAAAGGCCCCAGCTCTCACAAGGTGTGTATTTAAGTTGAAACAAGAAATAAGAAAGAAAAAAAATAGCAGATAATTGCTATGCAAAGAATTAAAGTGAGGTGACAGAGTGACTGAGGACTACTTTAGACTGGGTAGTCAAGGAAGGCCTGTGAAGCAGTGCCATTTTAACTGGGACCTGAAAATGGGGGGCGGAGGAGAATATTCTAAGCAGAAGGAATAGCAAAGGCACAGCCCCTAGGGTGAAGCCATAAACTACCCATACATTATGTAGTCACAGTTCCCACAAAGAGGAAATTACCCAAAGTGCCATGCAGTGGTCTCATCCTGACAAAAATCACCTACCTAATCACGGGATCTTTCCAGCTCATATCTACCTTACAGACATGCAAGGAATGAATATAAAAGAATGTCCAAAAGAGAGTAAGCTTTTAAAATGTGAAATTGTATCACATTACTGATTAAAACCATTCAACAGCTTTCCACTGCATTCTGAATAAATTTCTACAAAGCTCTGGCTCCTCCTAGCTTTTCAAGCTCACCTTATTCCACTCTCCACTTTTCTCAAAACACTCCAGCCACATGGGCTTTCTTAACACATTCATACATGTGCTGGGAGACAATTGTCTATGGGTCTCTCAAGATTCTTAAGTCTTGGATGCAGATGCACTGCATGCCTTTGTTCTAACCCTTTTCAAGGCCATTTCTAAATGTAAACAGCCTCAGAAGATAGAGATATGTCTTCCCTGGAGCACAATACAAGCAGGCTAACTGCCTATTATAAGATTCAGGTGTCCTGACCTGGGGTGAGGTTCCTCTTCCTGTAACAAAATATGCGGTATATACAGGTGTCATCTGACACCTTCTTCCTGCCTTGTGGGAACTGGGGCTCGGGACACCAAGAGAAAAGCTGATACTCTGGCTACTGCTATTGCTGTGATAAATTGCCTTTTGTCTCTAAGAGTCTTGCCTTCTGCCAATATCCACGAAACCATAACAGACTAACTTGTTAGCTTGTAAGTAGGATAAGCATCTTAAGCCCTTCAGAGTACTTCAGCTGTTCTCAGGCAGGAGACCCCCAACATAACTGCTTCCCCCTGAAATATTCTCCCCTCTACTTTTAGATCAAACAACTTTTAGAAATCAACTTATGTGTCATATTCCCAGAGGTGCCTGCCTCTTCTACCCAAAAACAAACTCTATTCCTATCCCTTCTATTCCTAGAATGTAATCACAATTTATAACAGTTTGTGTTTTATCTGTTTAATGTTCACCTCCTCCATAAGAACACAGATGTTGGTTTTTTCAACACTGTCTATTCAGAGCCTAGCCAAGAGCCTGACACATAATAAACATTTGACTGAATAAATGCTCAGTAAATTCCTCTCCCTTTCTTTACACAGAATCACAGCTGATTTTTAAATGAATGCATTTTATAGCTACTTAAAAGATAAGAATATACAGACTTGAACAGTCACCTTACTAATTTTAAATGGGGACTAAGTTTAATGTCCAAGCTTAGGAATTCCAGGTTTTCCTGCCCTCACAAAGCTCCCTCAGGGAAGATGCTCAAAGAGGAGGCTCGCCAGACTTCTGTTGTGTCCACACCATTTCCTTACCGGACATCAGCAGCCAAGCAAAACTAATATAATTTAATCCTGTTGGGTTTTGTGTTTCTCCCAAACTGCTGAGGCATAATGAGTAGAGGCAATACTGGACAGAATTATATTTGTTTACCTTCCTCAGAACCAGAAAAATTAGAGGATGCTATTATTATTAATAGAGGATGCATGTGTTGTTTTTACTTAAAAGTTATGTATCTTGTACATAATACAATTAATTATCCAGGGAATTTTGTTAAAGATGACAGAGTCTTCTTTCCTACACACCATCTATAGAAGCACAGAAAATATCTGGGGGGGATATTCTTTAAAGAAAACTTCTATTTTTTTAGTTGTTTTAAAAACTAGTCATATCCCACAAACACTGGGAATACTGAAACAACAATTCTTGTTTAAATTACCTTAAGTATACTGTATTGGATTCACATATCAGACTTTATCCTCAGGAGAGGAAATGAACGATATGACTATAACCTCAGAACTCCACAAAAAATTTTCACTTTTAAAACCAGTTAAAAAACAGTTATCACCATTAAATTGTATCTAAGTGCTGTGGATAACACAACTGAATCCAATCAACAGTCAGCCTCATGAGGACAAGGATGCTGTGGGTTTTGTTCGCTGCTGTTGCCTTGCACATTACTGGGGTTCCAGAAAAGGTTGCTGAATGACACTTACCATTAAGAATATCTTCAAACCCAATAGTCTCATCATTACCCCTCAAAATATCAAGTGAAAGGTTTGAGCTTGGAAGAAATGGAAGACGTTGAACCTTTGGGAAAAGTATGAAAGGGCAAAATTAGAACAAAAACAAGGAGGGAAAGTTTAATTTCATGTTCTTTATTCTTTATTTATAAAATCCACAAAATTAAATGTCAATTTAACCAGTGGAGAGGAAAAAAAAGTTCATATTTTAGACCCAAACCAAGTTTTTAAAAATTCCTCAAAACTTACTCAAAATACGTAGACACCAAAAGTGTACTTTTATTAACACTTAATAATCCTATCAGGTTCACACACATTTGGGGGCTTTGCTTCTGTTCAGGAAAAGCACAGTATATAACATCTGATGAAATGTAAAACCTCAGAGCCTAGCACTATATCTAGTTTCTAATAAATGTGGGACAAATTCATAAAGAAATTCCAACTCAGTGAGAGCATTATTCTACTCAGCAAACTGATTACTTCACTCTGTATGTAGTTTTGTATTGCTCATAGTACAACGCTAAGTCACAACCCTTTCAAACAGTAGTGGTAATTGGAAATGAAGATGAAACTCATTTGTGGGGCCTTTAAAAAACACGTCATTTTGAAAGAGTGTTATGTACTTTTTTCAAATATTAAGTAAGTACACACCACAGACTGGTACCTAAGTATAGTGGAGAAAGCACGGGTGTGGAGTCAGAGAGATCTGGATTCCAATTATGATTCTAATTACTTCCCAATCCTTGGGCTTTAAGTTACCTCATCTGTCTCACCCTCAGTTTCTTCACTTGTGAAATAGGATTACACCACCTCTCCCTCTCAAACTTGTAGTATGGTGTGGTGTAAAGTATGTATATAGTATAGTCACTGGCACATAGTTGGTACTCAACAAACTTTAATGTAGCCAAAACAAATTTTCAATTTTTTCTGTTAATTGTCTAGTAGTTATAATTTCAATCAATGCAGACAATTTTGGATATTGCTGAAAGAATACCAAAAAAGCAATAGGTGGTCAGTGACTAAATGATACTAGTGTTTTAAAATAATCATAACTTTAGAATCAAAGGAGGCACTTAAGATTTTTTCCACCAAAGAATTGTATTCAGACTAAAAATATTTTTAATTACTAATGGCCTATAGAGTTATTTAAATCTTTGTGGCATGGAAAAATTTCTCTAGGTTGTCAAGACCGGAAAAACAAACAAACTGCGGGAGGATAAAGATAGAAGAGAAAGAAACAGAAATGGAACCTGTAAATTAAACCAGACAGTAGGGGGATGGTAGGTACAGTTTGACCAGAGATACAGTCCTGTGAAAGCATCCAAAGCAGGGATGAGCAGACAGTGGTTATATATCCTGACGAGCAAGAACTACAACACAAGGATCAGGAAAAAAGGGCCAGAATTCTGGACAAAGATTTTTTTGGATTAAATGGGATTAAAAGCGTAGGCCCAAAATATGAGCAATATGTAGCTGGAATCTGTAAGAGCATAAAAAGAAAAGCTAACAATTTTGTGCAAAAGTATGTATTGCATTTAATCTGCAGAACGATCCCAATAACCCTACACTGTTCTCACTGCTAATTCCATTTTGCATTAAAATCAAACACACGATCTGAGGCTCAGAAAGGTTTCTAACATATTTAAGTTCTTAAGACTAGTAGGTGGTGGAGTCAAGATTCACATCCAGGTTATTCTGATGTAAAGCCATGCATGCTGTTTTAAAGCTTTATCCCTGGAAAAAATTCTAAAACAGCTTCCAGAATGACTCAGTAATGGCATTAATAGAATCGATTGAAAAAGACACAATTTTGGCCAGGTGAGAGAAAGGAATTCACAGTAGAAGGAAAAACATGTGCAAAGGCCAAAAGGAGAGAGAACAAAATTAGTCAGGACACTACAAGTAGCTGAGGAGATGATGGAGCATGGTGGAGAGCAAGAAAGCAATTCATGACCAGAGCCATGTTAAGGAGGCGAGTTTACTTTGAGGGCAAAGAAGGGAATGACATGATCAAATTTGTGTTTCACAAAGATTATTCTGGCTAGAGTGTGTACAATGGAATGGCTGGCAGGAGGGGTGGATGTTGCAGTAATCCAGATGAAGCACTGTCGGGGTCAGAACCAATGTAGTTGCAATGGTAAAAGAGGTAATTGACTGGATGTTGGAGGGTGGGAGTGGGGGATAAGATGCTAGGTGAGATAACCAAGGCTAATGTTCCATTTTCTACCTTAGGAAAAACTTGGTTCGTACATGATAAGGAGTATGTGAGAAACGACGTGTTATTTGGTACTTGAGTGAAATTTGAAGTGCCTGTGGGCATCCCAATTAGAGAAACCTATAGGTTTACAGCTCAGTGATACCTAAAGTCATAGGAACAGATAGGAAACAAGAGGACAAGGAGAGGACCAGAAATGGGTACTAACAAAACTAGTATTTCAGAGAACTGACGAAACCAAAAGGAAGTTACACAGCAAACCTGGAAATAAGGTTTCAGAGAGGATAGGAACACCAGGAAAGTGCAGTGTCCTAAAAGCCAAGGGAAAAAGGCAGCCGCCACTAGTGTTACACACCACAGGGAGATCAGCAAAATGAGGGCATAACAACGTCCACTGTTCAGGAACAATTTCGGTGGTGTGACGAGAGCCAGAGAACCATGGATTGAGTGAATAGGAGGTAAAGAAATATATGTAGCAATGTAGGGCAATGTAGGCAACTTTTTTAAGAAGCTCAGCTTACAAAAGCATATTCAGAGAGAAGTTGCTATAAAGGGATGAGACTGATACAATGTTTCTTTGCTTTAAAGGACAGAGGTTCACATATATGTAAAAGCTGCTGAGTTCCAGCAAGTAGAGAGAGATTGAAGATATCAGCTATAGAAAGGATCCATGAAAAGGGAGCCAGAACACAGGTGGGGGACACTTCTTACATTCTTGGAAGGCATTTCTGAAGATCTTACTCCTGAGCAACAGGTACACTCAGGTATTTACAAACTGCCTACTTGATAGCTTCACTTGGATAGTCCTACAGGCATCTCAAATTCAATGAAACCCTCCAAAAGAAAAAACATGAAAGTGGATGCAGGTAAGTTTTCAGACACTGAGCCCATAATTTGAAGCAGTTTTCCATTTAATGGCTTCTTTTTTCTCTATAAAATAGGAATCGAGGTCATGCCCTAAAAGGGGGAAAGTAGAATAGGTTGTAGGGGAGGTCAGGTTTGTACAGCTATTATTAAAATAGAAGAGTCATTCCAATCGGTATCAACACACATGGGATGCACACATAACTGACACACATACACTTACCTGTTGCACTGCCTTGAATTCCATTTGCAATTTTAGAGGAGCAAACAGACCCTGGATGTTTCTCAGTGTAGAAAAATTCATTTTATCTTGGTTGAGCTGGAACTACAAAAGACAGCAATGTAATTTTATTTTTACTTATTTTTAATCCTCACCCATGTTTTTTTTTAGAGGAGGGAGGAAGAGAGAGGGCAGGAAAGAGAAACATCGATGTGAGAAACATAGATCGGTTGCCTCCTGTATACGCCCCGACGTAAGTATGTGCTTCAACCTAGGTATGTGCTCAAAACTGAACCAATATTCCATATCTAATAACCAAATTAATACTTACAAAAATGGAGGGGATAATCTCCCCTGATTTGAACTCCATCTTATTATTAATAAAGTCCAAGACTGCATTAACTGTTCTTTTCAGTAGCTAACAAAATCCACTGGCTTATAATAACCATACAGTCAATTAAAATCAAGTTTTATTATCAAGACAGGTTTACCCCATCTAAATGTGTATAGTTCATCTTTTGAACCCAAACGCAAAACTTCACATTCTCCTGTGTAAATGGTTTTTTAACTTTTGGCTTAGTCCTTTGACCTATTTTCTCATCTGTGATGTAGTTCGCTTATTCATTAAAATGAGCTATCCTTACCAGCTTTTACTTCCATAAATCCAATTTACATGCTTTCCTTGGTTAGCCTCATCTGTGAAAAACACTTAAGCTTCCTCCAACTTCTGAGCATGAAATCAGAATGCACTTAAACTAAGAGCCATTTTATTTTCTCATCTAATTTGAAATTCAATTTCACCACCACATTATTTGTTCTACTCTTTCTTATACAAAGATCCTTCCCCTTGCAAGAGAGGAAAAAAAAATGGAGGAGGTCAGCTTTCTGGGTAACGGTGCACCATCTTCCTCAAGTAACAGCTCTTTCTTCTTGCTCTAAAAGTGTAATTAAAAGCCCTCTACACTGTCTAAAGAACATCTGTACAGGCTATACACTCTTTGATAATGATCTTTCCCCATCTATTTACCTGGAGAACATCGGTCTAAAACTACTCAAATGTCCCCTCCTCAGTAAAGCCTTCCACAATCCCTAAGCACAGGTGGTTGCGCCATCCTTGGTTCTCTAAGCATCTTATGATGCCCCTATCCACTGCTTGTCCTCCCATTAAATTTTCAGTCCCTTAAGGCTGGGGGTTATGTCATATTCATCTGTGTACATACTGTGCCTAGTATGTGGATATGTCCTTTTGTAACTTGGAGAAGCAAGGCCTGAGAAAGAGGTCAAGGCTAGAGATAGGGATTTGGAGGTCTACATCAAACAATAGCAGGAGAAAAATATAAATGAAAATGGGATTATAAAATGAAAAAAAATCAATGAGAGGAATGGAGAGGTGGACTAACCTTTAGAAATATCCATAAAAAGATAGACATTAATGTTTAGAAAGGGAACTTTAGAGAAGCAGTATAAGGATAATTCAAAGCCTACTCTACAAAAATATTGAAAATAAGGCTTCATACTCTTCGTGGTCAATTGCTCCACACCAGAATTGTCTCAATAAATGTAACCACAAACATATTATTGAAAGCATTTTTCTACTAGAGGACAAAAATAAATATACTGTTAACATACTTACATTTTTTTCTGATAATTCAAGAGGATGACTGGGCAAAAGTTCATTTTTCACACAAGAAAAACTGAAAATAAACATTTAAAGAGAGATTACATTATCACTCAATACTTAAAGCTCAAAATCACAACTATCAAAGGAATAACTACAATGGAATGGCACGAGGGGAGTTTTTTGGGGATGGTGAAACTTCTGTATCTGACAGGAAATGATACATGTATTAAAATTCATATAACTACCCACCAAAAGGGGAAAAAAGTCAAATTTTAAAAAGTCAAATTTACTATATGCTAATTGTTTTAAAATGCATCTAATATAGATACTTGTGGTCAAGACTGCAATTCACTAGAGAGACGCCTCTAAAAAATGGTGTTAAATGATGCCTGATATCTAGAAGAAATTTCATAAAGCATGTTTTTTACTATTATTCTGATGACATGCTTTTGTGTTATATAAAATACCTAAGTCTCTTCTGCTCAGGTCAAATGTGTATTAAATATTTAATGTATCTTTAATAACACACATCAAACAACATGTACGACATTTACTGAACACCTCCTACATAGAAAGTACTATGTTAAGTGATACACAGCTAGAACCAGACCACTGGTTTTTATTACACCTGATATATAAAGATGAATATCTTATTGTCCAAAACAGGATTTGAGAGATATAAGAAACCTTAGAAATCACACAATAATAATTTCCTGAATGTAAGTGGAATCTGAAAATGGTCCTGCTCATGGAGATCTTAGTCTAACCAGTAAGAAAAAGGAGCATTCATGTGAAAAAATAAAGACATAACAAATTATCAGGATTTGGTTACTGGCTACCTTATGAATTTGATTATACTATAAATCAAACTGTATCTCCAATTTCAAAGGCTATATATACTCAATCTTTCACTACAAAATAGAAAGACAGTAATGAGGCATTCTGTCTGTCCCCAGACACCACTAAAATGCCATTCTATTATAGTACAAACTAAACACCTTAAAATTAGATGTAAAATTCAAAACACAAAATGTTCATGATGGGGAAGACATTATTCTTATTTGATTAAGCAGAAAAGCAACCTACCAAGAAAAAGAACTAGTACCAGAAATTGAGACCTAGACATATAGAAACATAAAGGAAACTGAGAGGACTACAACTGTGTGCTAAAGCTAGAAAAGAAAGAGAATAGCAGCTAACACTGAGTGCTTACTATTGTCAGGCACTGTTCTAAGTATTTTTCATGTACTACTAACTCATTTATTCCTCAAAAAAGCATATACATTATTAATAGCCCTATTTCACAGATGAGGACAATGAGACTTAGAACAATTAAGTAACTTGCCCAAAGGCATACATCTAATAAATAGCAAATCCAGGGTCAAAATCCAGGAATCCGGAGTCAAGTCCATGCTCTTAACTGCTATGTTCTAGAGTTTCCTCCCATAAAGTGAATCAGTCTAATAGTTAATAAAATGGCCCTCCAAGTTATCAATAGCAAAATAAAGAATCCTATCAAATCATGCTACTGGGTAATGTCTCCTAGGAGGATGCCCTAACCTGGGAACCTACTACGCTGATAAGGCACTTCTTTGGCTATAGAAAATATCTAAGCCCTCACTCCCCTCCTCCCCCAGTCTAAGGTATATTACTTGCTAACTCCCAAACTAAATATATATTTAGGGCCTAACAAAATATTTATTTATTTATTAAATATATCTTTATTGATTTCAGAGAGAGGAAGGGAGAGGGAGAGATATAGAGATAGAAACATCAATGATGAGAGAGTCATAATTGATCAGCTGCCTCCTGCACGTCCCCAACTGGGGATGGAGCCTGCAACCTGGGCATGTGCCCTGACCAGGAATCGAACCGCAATCTCCTGGAGACTAGGTTGATGCTCCACTGCTGAGCCACACCCAGCCGGGCAAAATATTTAAAGAATATCATGAAAAATAATTTCCAGGAACAGTTTATTATAAAAAAGTCAAAGTCACAACTCCCACATATACCCTTTCCGAAGAAGATCATGACTTTCAAAAGGTCCACTTGCTGACAGCTCAGTAACTGGAATACTGTCCTTTAGCTGAGATCCAAGTCCTCTGGTATTCTACAATACAAATAAAGAACACTATTAAATACAAAAAATTCAAAACACCCCTACTGAACTTCTAAGTAAAAATCACGGTTTAAGCACTAGAGAGAAAAAAGTAAGGTCTCTGTCCTCAAAGATCCCATTCTAGACAATCACAATGAGCCTTACTTAGCGTTATGTTAGAGTGACACACATGGTACAGTGAATATCAAATCTGTGGGTAGGAAGGAATCATTTCTGAATGCTGTCAGATCAAAAGGCATTCGGGAAAAAAGAACATGGCTAAAGGTATAAGAATATAAATGATCATGTGAGAAAGTCAGAATTAAAGGCTGATGAAATGAAAAGGCTTAAAGGTGCAAAAAAGTTCAGTTTTATTACAAAATTGACAGAGAGCCTCTGTCAATTATAACATAGCATAATCAGATTTACTTCCAATGGACAGATTCCTCCCTTAGGTTGGATGATGAGGACAGAATCTTGGGTAACACCATTCCTTCAGGACAAGGAAGAAGTATAAGAAAATGGGATTAACAATGAACAGAACAGCTAGAATAGAGTGGTAACAGAAGCTTAAAAAGGGGGGAGGGATTTCAGAAAGTGGCTTTTATAAGATGTACTACTTATGAAAAATAAATATATCTAGTCAGGGTAGTGTCAAACAAAAACAAAGACAGACTCAGTGCATTTGGTTCTGGTAAATAGTCACCCTATGCATTTATACAATAATACATTTAATCATCAAATATTTATTATGCATCTACTATATGGCAGGTACTCTGCTAGATGCCAAAGATGCATGTCTACTTTCCAGGGCTTAGTCTGGTGAAGATAAATGAGACAAGCAAATGCATGTAAAACACAAGACGCTGACTTTAAATCACTAGTTGCTCAAGTTCAATATCCCCACAATTCTGAATAAAAATGTAAAACAGCTAGAGGTAGTTTGGCATCACTCTTATACTGTTCTAGGAGAAACTATTCTGAGAAATCCAGCCTTTCATTAATTTCTAAAGTCATTCGTATATTTTGTTTGGTTAGGTACCTTATCCTGTCCAGGGCTTCTTCAACCAACCACCCTAGTCCAGGATCTCATACCTGGATAACTTCTTACACAACACTCTACTGGGTCTTACTGCCTACACACACTTCCATTTTCCACTTCTGCATATCAAGGTTTTCCTAAACATACAATCTCCCCCACAAACACTGTTTAAAAACCTTTCACTGATTCATCAATGTCTTGTCTGAAGAATAAAGTCCAAGGTGCTTAGCCTGGAACTCAAGAACCTGCACAAGAGATTTCAGCTCCCTCACACAGAATCATGGGGTAAATCAGGAAAAGGATCTGGAATCTAGTGTGGACTGTCACTAACCCACTATGTGACCGTAATCAACCCATTCAACCTCTCTGGTCCTGTTTACTCATCTTTCCAGGTACCTTCCCAAATGTACATCCTTTTCTGCATGAACAGTCTCCTCCTCCCAGGCTGCTTCACTGTAAAGTGACAGAGGAAAAGTTTCTTCCATGCACAAAACAAGAGGGGATTCTGATCTCTGTGTTTTACTGAAACCATCTTCCCAATTACCTTTTGTAAAATATCAGGATTAGTACTTGATATTTCTAATACCACTAGTTACAGTTGAGGGTGTTTATAAAACCTCTTTACAATGATCAGCAGTTTTCTAGATCCCGACGGCCTAGGAGAAGTACTGGTATCAGAGGCTGGTGATTCAGGAGTCCTCCCCCAAAATTACAATTTTAAAGTTAAAAAGAGAGAAAGAGAAAGGAGACAGAGGATGGAGGAGATGCACTAACAATGCTGACAAACGTTAAGTAGCAACTGTGTTTTTTTTTCCACTCCAGCATCTGGCAAACAAGTTCCCAAAACCGTTGTAGAGTAAAGTTAAGTGATAAAAATGAGACCTATTGTTGTGGGTTTGTTATGAAGTCAGTTCCAGGGGTCAGGGATGGGCGAGGAGTTTGGGGATCTTGGGCTCCCAAAGGTTTCCCCTTAGGGGAAGGGCAGGCGGCAACGCCACACCACAGAGGTTGCACTTTCGATATGTCCTTTCCAACTCCGTGCCAACTACAAGGACGGGGTCGGGGTCTGCTGTGGGGGAAAGAGGACACAAATCGAAAGAAGAGAAGGAGATGGAAAAGGATGAAGCCGAAGCGCTGGCCGCGGGACCAGCACCGGAGCGCGGCCCGAGCGGCAGCCGCGAACCCCCGACCCCATGACTCGGCATATCCTGGCGCCTGAGGCCGGTCTCATCCTCCCACCAAAGACGCCGCTACAGGAGACCGGCTGGGAGGCGGTGGCCTGGTCCCGCCAGGCCACGGTCCCGAGCACGCCGGGAACTCGGGTCGACGGGGGGTTCACTCACCATCTTCAGCTCACCCTGCGAAGAGCCCCTCAATCCGTTACCGTCAGCTAGCCCCGCCGCTCACTTCCGTTTCCGGGGCTGCTCCCCCCACATCCGCCGGAAGTGCGTCCGTCCGGCGAGGAAGGAAGGAGGGCGCGGGGCGCCGGGAGGGAGCAGCGCTGGGCCGGGGCTCCCACGCCTGCAGTCCCGGGGGACCGGGGAGCAAGGGCGCCGTAAGGGTGTGGGCTGAGAGCAGGGCGGGCCCGGACGAGCTGTGCCCCGAGAGGGAAGACGCGGACCTCCGCTCTGGTAGTAACAAACATCCAGCGGTCGTACATCTGACGTGTTGCGATGTGCTTCAGGGGATGCATCGCCTTATTTAATACAAGATCTCTTGGATAGATACTATATTTTTCATAAGGGTAAACGAGGCATAGGTGGGGTGAGTGATTGGCCTGCAGTCGTTCAGCCAGTAAGGCAAAACTGGACCACAAGGCATACTAAGTTTTTTTTAAATCATATATTGAAGGCCTGCTAGTGTTCAGGACCCTGTGCTGAGGCTAAGAAAGTAAACGAACCAGGCCGATGTGGTGCCTGGGCTAGAGGAGAGGAGGGACTGTTGGGGATCGGAAGGGTGAAAACTAAGTGTGATAATTACTGTCATATATAGGACTCTCACTTTATAGTTACAGTTGTAACTGCTTAACATGAACTATTTCCTTTAATCCTTTCAGTAATCTTTTGAAGTAGGTACTACTGTCACCTCAGTTTTACAGGTGAGGAAAGCAAGACAGAAAAGGGGTTAAAAAAATATGCCCAAGGAGACCTGACCAGTGTGGCTCAGTTGATAAGAGTGTAGTTCTGTATATCACAGGTTCAGCTCCCAGTCAGGGCACATACCTAGGTTGTGAGTTCCATCCCTGGCTCCAGGGAAGACCTGTGCTGGAGGCAACTCATTAATGTTTCTCTCTCTCTCTCCCACCCCTCCCCCTCTCTCTAAAAATCAAAGAAAATGTCCTTGGGTGAGGATTAAGTGTATATGTATACATATCCAGGGACCCAAAATCCATTGTCATAATACTGTACTGTATTGCCTAACAAATATACTGTGATAAGATGGACTTAGGCTCTGTCCTCATATGATGGAGCTAACTTAAAGAAGGAATCCTCAGGCTGATAGCCAAAGGACAAAGAGAGAACTAGTTTTAAGTAGCGGAGTATATGAGAGAATATTACTGGCAGATTTGCTTGTGCAAAAACTGAAGTGGGGAAGAAGGTCTGTGTGGCTGAAGTAAGGGAGAGAGTAGTGTGAGCTGACGCTGTAAGGAGATGGAGGCAAGTTTATTATGGAGGCATTTGTGCACTAGATTAAAGATGAGACTTTATCTTTAAAAGGTCATTGAAAGCTTTTAAGGAGGGAGGTGATAAAGTTTCGTATGTATATCCACTGCCATGATCTTACAACCTTGAAGTTCTGCCATAATCCAGATTTTAAGTATTGTGCCCTGCTGTCCTTATGTCTTCTGGCAGTTCAAAATGTCCATGTTTACCTTGAGATTTGAGTTTGAGTGTTTCATTTGCACGTTTTTCCTTTCATCAGTTTTATCTAAGGAGAATTTTAAAACTGCAGCTATTTTAGAGTCAGTTTAATGTTTGTTGATTGCTTATAATTCAGTTATTAAGGATTTGTTGAGTATTTGCGTGGTGCTAGAATCTAGAGCTACAGACAAGAAAAATGTGTTTCCCTATGCTTGAGATGCTTTTGCCCAGGGGAGTAGACACAAAAACAGACATTTAAAATGCAGTGAAGCCCTGGCCCGTGTGGCTCAGTTGGTTGGCGTCATCCTGTGCACCAGGAGGTTGCTGGTTCAATTCCCGGTCAGGGCAAATGCCTGGGTTTCGGGCTCCCTGGTAGGGTCAGGGGGGAGGGGGGCATGCAGGAGGCAGCTGATCAATGTTCTGCTCTCACATCGATGCTTCTCTCTCTACCTCTCCCTCTCTCACTCAAAAAATCAATAAAAATACATGTTTTTTTAAAATGCAGTGTAGTAAATACTTAATAGAGAAAGGAGCTGGGCCAGGAAGTGATTGGGAACAGGGGAAAATGGCATTTGAGGAAGAGGAAATGTGGAAAGGCAAGATTTTCAAAAGGGCATGTTGTAATCTGAACAATGAAGGGCTCTTGTGTGTTGTGCTGAGGTTTGGGGCTTTTTCTTGAAGGAAACAGGAGATAATGGAGGTCTTTTCACATACATTTGACCTTAAAAAAAAAAAAAAAATTATCTTGGTGGCAGCATGAGGGATACACTGGAATTGGGAGAAACTAGGAGCCAGGATACCATTTAGAGTGTTGCAATAGTCCAAGCAAGAGATGATAAAGGTGTAAATTAAGGTAGCACAGCATATTGGAAAGATTTTGAGAAGCAGTGAAAAGTAGGGATGAACCTGAGGAATAGTAGAATTCAAGAGGCAGCCAGAAGAAGGGCAGCCTGCCAAGGAGACAGAAAAGAAATCGTCAGAGAGGCAGAGTAAAAACCAAATCCAAGTGCTCTGTTAGAATCCGAAGGGGAAGAAAGTGTTGAGAGGTTGATGAGTAGTTCAAAAGAGAGGTTAGGAAGTAGTTTTAAAGTAGCTTCAAACCCTGGCCAGTGTGGCTCAGTGCTTGGGCTTCAGCCCGTGCACGGAAGCGTCACAGGTTCGATTGCTGGTCAAGGGCACATACCTGGGTTGCAGGTTCAGTCCGGCCCTGGTGGGGGTACTTGTGGGAGGCAACCAGTCAATCAATGTGTCTCACATCAATGTTTCCCTCCCTCCTTTCCACTCTAAAAAAGAAAAAAAGTCCTCTGGTGAGTATTAAATAAATAAAGTAGCTTCAAAAAGATCATGAAGTTTTGAAAATAGACCTTTGGTGACCACCGTGAAGGCAGTTTTAGTAGTGCAGCAAGGAGGAAAAAATCACTTTATTTTGAGCGGTACACACCCATATTTATATTCATTTAAAAGGGGTTGTTACAGAATTAACTAATACAAGGCAGCCTTGACTATGCTAAAGTCATTTTAAATAGCTATCTATTATATACTTTGGAGAATAGAATATCAATAACAGTTAATACCACCTATATTTCAAGCCCCGTTCTTAGTTCTTTACATACATTGACACATTGTTCCAGTTAATCCTCAATTAGTCTATGAAGTAGGTATTACTGTTATCCACATTTTACTTAAGAGACAGGCTTGGGTGCATTGTAGGGGAACAAGTACCCTATTTTTCTTTACTTTTTGTTGTATTCCTTGACTTTACTCTTAAGCTTGTGGCACAAATATCTGTTGAATGCCTGTAATTCAACACAGCAGAAATGCCCATCTAGGTGCAGACTGGTAATGAAACATCGGTGAGAACCAAGTGAATGACCACAGCCATTTTGATCATTAGGAGATGTAAAAGCATTCTGAGGTGACAAATTCTCCAAAAGTGGAGAAAGGGTAGTATAAAGCAGATGCATGCACTTCCAAGAGGAGGTGGTTAAGTGATAATAAGTGGTACTGGTGGGTAGCAAGAGGCTGTGCTGACATTTGCTTGCCCTGTGAGTCAGGGAAAGTTGGAGAAAGAGTAGACACCACTACACAAGCTTTTGAGGAAAGTGGCATCATTTATGAGAAAGCTAGGTTTCAGTTAGAGCTAAGATGTGGAAAGAGAACTTGTGGCAACGTAAGAAATACATACTGGGAAGGCTCATTGCAATAGACTAGGGAAGTTTAATTGTGTGTTCCTAGGAATATAGTGGCAGGGGTTTGTGAATGGAAGACGAGAAGCAGGTTTTAGGGCTGACCAGATAATGGTAGCAGAGGAGTGCATGGGTAGAGAAGTGTGGGAAAGAATAGATGAATGGGTAGTTGTGCGTAGGAGGCAAGACCTATTAATATAGTTGGGAAATAGACTAGACGTAGATATGGGCAATCCAAGGTAGCTTATTTGGCAAAGTTTCAGAAGCACCCTCCTGGGTCTGGATCCCAACCCTAAAGCTTAGCACTAAGCCAATGCCCTAATTCCTTGTTTAATTCCAATGATCCCTTTCCTCTATGGCTAGACTCAACGAAAAGTGGCATCCAACCACAGAGTCTACAATCCTGACATCCACTAACTACAAAGAGTCACAGGTGTACACGCAGGTGTGTGTGCGTGTGTGATGTGCCCAGCCTTCCCTTCTCCCTGCCAGCTACAAATTCTGGCCAGGCCTGCTTGGTCTTTTTTCCCCCCAGTGTGAAGACACTTCTCAGCCAGATGGGTTCTTTTCAGCTTTGAAAGCAGAATTAGAGGATTTGGAGAGGGACTGTTGGCAAGGATTGATGGTGATGAGTTTCCTTCAGAGTTTAGGGCAGGAGGTAAAAATAATGTAATTAGTGTAAAAAGTTTATAAAATGTATTCTCTCCAAGACCTAATAATTAAAATGTATGGCAGTATAAGTTTCAGAAATTGTGCTCACCTACAAGACGGGAAGGGAGTTCATGCGAGGGGGTAGTACAAGTCTCAACTAGCAAGAAAGTTACTATGTTTCAGAAAAGAATCTGTAAATTATAAATAATACATCCAACTCTTCTTTAAATGATCTAAATTCTTGTAATGCTGGGAAAGGTTCAATGTGCTTGATTTATGATAAATTATATTTACACATCTTTCTTTGCAATTCCCTTCATAAGTGTTAAGGGACAGAGAAATACTTTACGTCAAGTTTATTTGACAGACCCCTTTCTTTAACCCTAAGAGATGAGTGTTTCATATTTCTTTGAAAATTCTTTGCTGGCTGTGATTTCAAATGGAGCTGTTTTTAAAAGAGTGTCCTCTGATTATGAAAAGCTGGATTTTCAGAAAGCTGGAGTGGACTCTTGATCCAGGTGTTTTGTTTTACTATTACACCTGCACTGCATCAGACACAGCAGAGGTTAGCATTCAGTTTCTATGCTTTCATCGCCCCACTTCAGGTCTGTCTGTTTTTTAAAAGTGGTTTATCATTTCAGCATAGAGTCTTTATCCATTTGCCTCTGGAGGGTACAGTTTGTAGAATATATGCAATGAATTTTAAATGATAGTCCTGTTTCTTTTACCAGAACCTTCATTTGCCAGCCCACACGTAGGAGCATAGAGTCATTTTAATGTTGGCTAAAGAAAAACTTAATTCAGAAGTCGCATTGCCAAAGACAGTGT